AAATTTTGGAACTCAAGATTTAGGTCTGCTAGGGAAGCTTGAATGGCAGCATAAAATTGGGCGTTTGATTGAGTGGGTCCTTTCAAGGGTACATTGAATGATTTGGGAGCTGCAAGGAATGTGTCTGCGTCCTCAAGCAAGGTAATGATTTCGGTGCGGTACCCGGAGGACATTTTTATTTTTCCCGCTATAAGAGATTATATTTTTTTTTTGAATTGGTGCAAGAGGTGTGTTAAACCTCACCGGCTGAGCTGTCGCGGAAAAGGGCAAATCCGCGAATAGTAAAAATTAAGCCTAGTAAAAACTCACACAATTTTTCAAGCAAAACAAATTGAAATTTTTTTTAAAGCAATTAAAAATTTCCAACAAAATGTATTTAATCCAAAGCAGTAAAAAATCAGTTTTTAGCAAAAAGGTTGAAAAGCAAAAATTTAAGTAAAGTCCAGAGCAAAATTGTAGAATATTTTTAGAAGAGCAAAGGCTAAATCAGCAGCAAAAGAATATTTTATAAGGCAGAGCAAAGTAAAGTCGTACAAGTTAAAAGCAAAAGTATGAAGAATGAATAATGAAAAAAAGCAGATACATTCAGTTGAATAAAAAAGGGGAGGGATAAACATTTTAAAATAAACAACCAATGGTCTAGGAAAGGAATTTTGTTTTTAAGTTTTTAAATGCAGGTGTCGTTGAAAAAGGAAAAAATTTAGAAATTAAAAATAAATTCTTTAATCTTTAAAGTCGTGAAACGACATATATACTTTTTTAGCTGACAATGCCTCTTCATCTGAAAGAAAACTTAGCAATAAAACTTTGCAGAAGTTTAATAATTTTATGAAGGGTATACCCGCAAAGGAAATCAAAACACAATTGGACTATATTAATGAAAATATTGAACCAATGTGGGAACAAATAGCCGGCAAACATAACAAAATTATTAATCTTTACAGGGTACGTTATGCTAAAAGTTTTGGTTCCGTTAGCCTTTCCATGGTTTTCATGTTCCCGGTTGTTTGTCCAAAATCCCAGTTCCGGTGCAACACACAATTAAATTGACACTTAGACGGTACTGCAGTTCCTGTTTCCGAAAATTCCGAAATTTTGGCATTTGGGCTAGTCTTGGCACTGGGCAGTTTTATCTCACTTTTATTTAACATCCTTGACTACCTCTTCGAGAAATTTCAGAATTTAACATTAAATATTTCTGAAGTTATAGTCGATATACCTCGAAAATTAGACCTTTTCGGAGACCTTTTTCCAGTTATTAAAGTATTATAAAAGACTTTTTAACTAAAAAAATAATTTAAGCATGTCAAAAAAATGGAAAAGCCGTCTAGCATAATTAAAAGTTTTTTTGATAGTGGACACCAGGGTGATCAATTTCGAATAACAAGTAATCTTTTAATAAATAATTTGAAAAAATTTAGTTTAAGTCAAATATTATGCAATTTTTGTAGCCTTTTTGTAACCCTACGACCTATTAAATGCTTGTAAACTTGTCTAATGAAAACTTTTTATTTTGACTAGGAAAATTTACTATAGCTCGGAAAATTCCACAAAAATTTCTGTGGAAGTAACTACCAATAGGACAAAGTAATAGGACAAATAATAAAGTTAAAAATAAGGTACTTATTGGATATACCCCCCCCCCCCCATTATTTTGAGTCTCCAGTCATTATTACATATTAAGGAAATTCTGAGAAATAGGGGAGGGCGTGGTATATCCATAAAGTACCAAAATTAATTTATAGCACCTAACATTGAAAAATTAAATCGGGCATTTTTTCAAATTAAATCAAAACCGGCGATTATTTATTCAATTTATTTGATTGAGAAAGAAAGGAGCAATAAAGATGTGGCACAATACCAATACAAAGTTGACAAAGTGACAAAAAAGTTAACTAAGGAAGAACTAGCATTTTATGAACACATGACTTTAAAAGAATTGATAGAATATATCAAAAGTGGCTGGGTTAGTTACAAAAGTCGGCTCTCGTGTTTGGATGCCCCAAAATTAGAAAAACTCTCGATTTAAGATATTTTTAGCAAGGCGATATGACAATTTCAGATATAAAATTTTAATTAAATTGAAGATTTTTCAAAGTTTTGAGCGTCGAATTAGTTTAGAGATGATTAGGGAACCGTGAAAATTCTGAAACTAACAGCAGGGCTAAAAAACAGGGTCTAATTTCAATAATTTTTAAAAATCTTTAAAAAAATTTTAAGTCCGGAATTGTCTTAACAAACTTAACAGGGGTGTCCGAAGCTGAGTTTAAAAGCGAAAGTCGTAAGGCAAAAATGCAAAAGCAAAGTTAAAAATTGTAAGGGAACTACGAAAGTCTAATTGGCCATTGGGCTGTGGATAGACTGCTTAAACGATATCCTAAATTTAATAAACGCCTCATTTTTCAATATTATTTTTTTCAGCTCCAAGGGGAATTCAAAACCGAGAACCGACTGTATTACGAAATAATAATTAAAAATAGACTAAACCCTATTATTAGACAAAATCATTCGGTAAAACATAGTAAGCTTTTTAGTGTGTCCACAGATAATTGTATAAAACTTAAAAATTAATTATATAATCTTTTAGCTTATACAAACAATAGAAGAAAATTACTTTTTAAATCCAATACTCAAAATAAAATTTTATTTTAATTGGTCTACCTTCACGTTTTCAAAAACTATTCACGATCCTTCATATAAACCAACTCCGTTAGAAAGCGGGATTCAAAGTGTTGTAGGATCGGGACGTTCAGGTCTAGCTAGTACTAGTGGGCAACAGTCAGGGGATGAGGGTGGGCATATTGAATTTGCAAGTGACGAGGATACTGAGTATAACGTGGAAGATATCGGAGAATATAGTGGTGAGGAGGAAGAACATCAGCCGGAACAGTCCGAAACAACACCTCAGGAAGGTCAAGAGGATGAAATTCAAGAGATACAAGAAGTACATAATCCGGTCTGGCAGGGTTATGCTCCGTGGCAAGGTAGCAAAATAACAGAAATGGGAGGGACCAAAATTCGTACTCGTACTTGGTAGGTCAAAAAATGGGGTGGTACGAAGTACGAGTACGAGCAAAGTTGAAATTTCCAAGCACTGATCCTCTATAGACTTGTAGAGACTTCAAGAAATTTTTAAACGAATTCTCAGCTTTCCCAGAAATATCTTGGGCTCCCCCGACTTTGATATTTTATGTCAAAAACGTTAAATTTTAATACAGGATATCCTCCAGGCCAGTATCCAGGACAATCCAGCTACGATCCCTGGAATCCTCCGCAATATTGAAACAAAATGCAGAAAGTTGCATAAATTGGATGAGAAAGTCTGAAAAACTGTGAAAGAAGTTATTTTTGGGGGTTATTTGAAGTAGATTTTAGAGATTTTCATCTTTTTTAACCTGGTTCTAGTTTTTTTTGGGTATTTATTCTAGTTTAATTTATTTTTGTTTGGCCACTTTTTCTTTATACTCCATTACAGTCAATTCGATACATCCAACTCGAAGGGATTTTTAGAGAGAATGAGTAAAGGGATTACTTTAGGGAGAACTTGAGGAGATTTTTAAAGAGAACCCAAAGTTAACTAAGAATTTATTTTGAGAGATTCGTTAAATCGAAGAGGAGCTATATCGAGATTGACTTTATGTATTTCTTACTGGATTTTAAAATTTTTCTTTTATGGAACGCACGGACATTTTATATTTTTATCCTTTTCCAAAGGGCTTTCTATTAGAAAAACGAATTTTTAAAAGTTTTTACTAAAATTGGGTTCCATATTTAATCCAATGGGTCCTTCTGGTTTCCTTCTTTACCATCTATGGCTTCTCTGTTTTTTTATAATTTTAGTCGCCAATGTCTAGTTGAACCATAATCCTTAAAGAACCTCACAAATTGAAAGGGGTCCAATACAGTATCGTAAAATTTTTAAAGAATGCCACATCTAATAGAATGCCCCCTTGAAAGCGATTGAAAATAGAATGCCCAGGCATGAGGGGTCGATCGGAAATGACGAAGGTGACGGAAATTGGACCTGTTTGAAATCGGAATTCCGACCGACCCCTGCCAGGCATAGCATTAGAAATTTTACAAGATTTTATTTTTTGGATGTTATCAATTATATTTATTATCATAGAATTTTTAGATAAATTAGTATGTAGTAGATTTTTTTAATTTTTTTGGGCTGTTCTCTCAAGAGTAGCATTGTAACAAGTGACAAAAATTCCACAACTGCACATGCACTTCTGTCTGTTCTCAAATGTGTCTTCTTTTAAATGTTGACACTTTGACATTTCTTAAAAGAGGCCGCGGAATAATTTGAATTTAAAAAGCTACAAGGGGAGTACTTTTTTGGATTCCCATCTAGGAAGGGATGGAAAATTTTTTATAATTTTAAATTTGTGAATTAAAGAAATCTAATTATAAAATAGAAAATTTAAATTTTATCTAAAATTCTAAGAAATGTTGATAATATAGGGTGACCAGAAATGAACTGGAGACTTTATTGTTAGCATAACTTTATTCTATTTAAAGATAATGAGATCAATTAAAAACTGTAAGACAGAGAATTAAATAGGAACAAATATAATCAAGAAATTTCGAAGTGCCCACCCTCTGCTTGGATACAGAGTCGAAGGAGTCGAATTTGGCTAAGGTTCGCAAGTCATGCGAACTTCACGCCTTCGACTCTATATCCTTGTAGAATTGGGCTCTTCGAGAATTCTTGGTTATATTTATTCCTTATTTAATTCTCTATCATTTAGTTTTTAAATTATCTCATTATCTTTAATTAGAATAAAGTTATGCCAATAATAAAGTGTCCGGTTCATTTCTAGTCACCCTCTAAATGACTAAAAATGCCATAATCATAAAGATGGAAGGATTAAACATGGGCAATTGAATTAAATATGGTACCCAATTATAGTAAAATAGTTTAAAAATATCGTTTCTTTAGTAGAAACCCCCTTTGGAAGAGGATAAAAAAATAAAATGTCCGGGCGTTCCATAAGAGAAAAATTTTAAAATCCATCAAGAAATATATAAAGTCAATCTCGGTATAGCTCCTGTTCGATTTAACGAATCTCTAAAAAATAAATTTCTAGTTAACTTTGGTTTCTCTCTAAAAATCGCTTCAAGTTCTCCCTAAAGTATTTAATCCCTCTAATAAGCCTCCTTTCATAGTAAGCCCTCTCCAATAGTAAGCAACCTCCAATAGTAAGCACCCTCCAATAGTAAGCCTCCTTTCATAGTATGCCCCCTCCAATAGTAAGCAACCTCCCATAATAAGCCCCCTCTAATAGTAAGCAACCTCCCATAATAAGCCCCTTCTAATACCTAGTAAGCAACTTCCAATAGTAAGCCCCTCTAATAGTGAGCCCTCTGAAAGCTGATGTAAAATGGAATGCCCGGACATTCTATAATAAAAACGCAGTACTAGAAAATTTTAAAATCATTTAAAAAATACATACAGTCAATCTCGTTATAGCAACTCTTTTGAATTAACGAACCTTTCAAAATAAAAATAAAATTTTAAGTCCCTGACTTTGGTTATCTCTAAAAACATCCCTTCGAGTTTGGTATATCGAGTTGACTGTATTGGAGTATAAAGCATGAATTTCCCAAAATAAAAATAAAAAAATAGAAGACTAAAAATATAGAGCCAATTTAAAGAAAGGTAACCACTAGGGTTGTTCGAGACCGTTTAAAACGAGACTTTTTAACCCCTGTGGCAGGTCAAAAAGAGAAGAGAGGAGGGAAAAGTCCGCCACAGGGAAGAAAAAACGAGGAATAAACCGGTCTCGAACAACCCTAGTAACCACAATAATATCGATAACCCCTTGGTAAATACTAGAAAAAATAATCCAAAAAAGACATTTCATGTCACAGTCAGTTTTTGACTTTCTCATTCAAATTTGTTCGTCTTGTTTTAATGTGTAGGATTCCATGCCTTGCCAACCAAGCTGATGGCTTGGATCATGACCTTGCCAACCAAGCTGATGACTTGATTCTCCTGGATAAGCATAGTAGATTGGTCGCCCATGATCATCAAATTGTCCTGGAGGATTTGAATAAACTTAGAGTTTAATTTTTTATTATATGTATAACCTGTCCACTGCGGAGCATAAAATTGAGAAGCATCGTATGGATGATTCCACGGAATATTCTGGCCTGAAGCATATGGATATTTATGTCAGGAGAGACTTCGTAGTTTTTGGAAAATTCGGGCTAGCTAGGACTTTCGGGACCTAGCTCAATTCAATCCCTGCGAAGCTATAGAGGACAAAAATTGACAAATCAGTTAAATGTATGAGATTAGTTCCCTCCGAATTTTGCTATATATTGAGTTACCTGTCCATTGCGGAGGATAACCACCTTGCCAACCAAGCTGATGTCCTTCTGGTTGTATTTCTCCATGTCCTTCGTCTTGACGAAATGCCGTTGCGGCAGTTTCTGGCTGATCCTCTTCTTCATCCTCTTCCTCGTCATATTCCTCTTCTCCTTCATCCTCTTCATCATCCCCTTCTTCTTCTTCTTCCGGTGTAGCAATGATATGCCCACTATCACGCCCTGATCTTTGCATACTAGTGCTTGGTCTTGATGATTCAGCAAAACTTTGAGCTCCGCTTCCTAACGGAGTTGGCTTATACGAAGGATCGTGAATACTTTGCTTAAACGTAAATGTAGGCCAATGAAAATAAAATTTTATTTTGAGCAGCTCATTATAAAAATGATAAGATTTGTATTTCTCTTCTTCTACCACTTTTATAGACTAAAAGATTATAATTATTTTTTAGTTAGCGGACATTTGACAATTTTTATTAGGTTTTTTAAATGAACTAAATAGTTTTGATCCCGAACATGTAACGAAAATATATGCCTAGGTACTGGATAAGACCCAAAAGCCTTTAATTCAAATAAATATTCATATCCTCCCCCTGATTTGAGTCTCGGATTAATTTCCTTTTATACTTTATTGCCTCGGAATGGTCAAATTTCCTTTTATTGAAAGTTATTTTAATGTTTTTCAATGTTTTTAAGTTTTTTTAATTCCTAAGGCTGAGCAGTAGGCGGTGTGGTGTGATGGGTAACACATCAAAAGATGCTGGTTCGCTCCCAGTCGCCGCTTTTGCACTAGCTACAGGAGAGAAATAGCTATAGCCCGGCTGCTTTACTATATTAAGTCGCAATTTTGAGTTCTACACTATTAGTATTAAGATAAATAACCCAATTAATGTGGATATATTTCTGCAAAGCTTGCAAGTTTTGTTGTTCGTAAAATTGAAGATTAAAATTTTGAATATTTCCAGCTAATCCTCTCAGTTTGTTAATTTTATCTTCGTATTTTTTCAAATCTTTCTTGTTCCTTTTTTGCTCATACAGATAAATTAAATAAATAATAGCTGGTTTTAATTTAATTTGATTAAATGCTTTGTTCATTTTTTCAACTTCGGGTGCTAAAATTGATGTTGAAAATTTTTTCTTGTTCTTTAATTAAATTTAAAAAATCCTCCTACCCTATAGACGCGAGATCATCGCAAAAATGCTAAGGGACCTACTACCTTCAGGGATCTATTCCCCATATACAAAATTGGACTATTCCGGTATTATACAGCTTCTTGGGATTGAACTTCTCAGGATCGTGTTAAAGGGATCACGCGTTAAGTGGATCATCAAAATTCCATTGAATCCCTGTGTTGGTTCCAAAAACCACCACCTTTTATTAATGAGATCCTTAAGTGCCTGGACGCTCGTAGAAACTAACACTTTTGGACTTCTCACACTAAGGTATATCTGACATGAATTTGTAAACTAATCATAATTCTAACTAGGCTAGAGAGAGAGAGCTTGGATAGGGCATTTTTAATTATTTATTAAAAAATTACTCGTAACTAAGCTAGGGTTAGGGCTATTTTTAGAATATTTATTAAAAAATTACTCGTAATTGGGACAAATAAATCAGTTGATGAACTTTCACGTTCTTTCTCTTGCTTATATTTGTTAATTTCCCAAGCAAAATTTTTAATTTTTACACATCGGTTGATTGTTGCTTCTTTGGCATTCTAAAATTATTATTTTTGATTTCTTGGCTGAATGTCTAATTATTTTATTTGAAATCAGTCATTTTAATAACCATATAACGAGGGATCAGATATTCCCTCTCTCCATAAGGTCTCCATACCCAATAATCTTAACGAGGGAATCACCAAATTTTATAAGCGATTCCTCTCAGAATCCTAAGAATGAAGACATCTAACATCTAACAGTGATATCCATCTTTTGACAAGCCTGAGGACATAATCAACACTTAAATCTTGACCGATTAAGGCTAAAGTTATCCTAAAATCGGGTGTTTATATAAACCAAGGTGAAAAGCTACCCTGTTAAGTTAATTACTTGCCCACTCGACTTATTAACAACCTTGGATAACCCTCAGGATCAAGTCTTATCTTAAGTCTTATCTTTATCTTATCTTGATCCTGAGGGTATCCTTTGCTATCCTTTGTTATTTTCTGGCATGGATTCGACGCCTTATTTAATCATGTTTTTGATTTAACTAACCCAACTTAAATTTAAAAAATAACCTTATAAAATCTAATAATTCTATTATGCTTTTCTTTTATATCTTTCCATAATGGATCTATATTTGTTTTAATATTTTCTAGTTCTACAGTTGTTTCTGGGGGCACACCCTTTAAAGCTTGCTTAAATTTATTCATTGTATCATTGCTAGATTTTCTTTCTCTTGAACTTGTATTGTCAACTAAAATTAAATTAGTTAACATAATGCTCGAACATATTTCTTACCCACCCCCTCCCCCCTCACTTCCCTGCCCCCATACTCCTTACCCACCCTCTCCCCCCTCACTCCCCTGCCCCCATACTCCTTACCCACCCACCCCCATACTCCTTACCCACCCCCCTCCCATACTCCTTACCCACCCCCCCCCTCACTCCTCCTCCCTCCAGCCCCCATACTCCTTACCAACCCCCACCCCCTCACTCCCCCTCCCTCCAGCCCCCATACTCCTTACCACCCCCCCCCCATACTCATTACCAACCCCTCCTTCCCATTTTTTCAAATAATTACCCTCTTTTCGAGTTATTACGCCTCTAGTGAGACAATAAGGAGTGATATACCAGGTGGAATCGAATTATTCAGAAACACTCGTGTAAGTCTCGGAAACACTAGCGTGTGACCTTGTGGAGATAGATTCTCGATACCATATAGGTTCTTGACTCACCATAATCATCTTCATAATCAAAATCGTTACTAAAAACAAGTTTTATTATTCCACTTCCAGTAATTTTACTTCCATAATACACACTTGCAAAATATTTTCTATATTCTCCTCGAATGTTTTTCATGTCTGTTCGATGTTCCTCCATTTGAGGCAACCTTTGTGGACTAACAGAATCACAGGAGATTAATGTTCCATTACTTTAATTTTTATAATTAAGTTTTTTGCCAACGTCTTTAATTAATCACACCCCCTTCCCTTAAATTAATTCACCCTACCTCCGTAAAGGATTCCCTCTTCTAATTAATTACCCCCCCTCCCCCTCCTATTCCTGCTAAATAATTGACACATTTCGTTTATACCCCCCCCCTAAGTGAGAGGTATTTTTGCACCCAGAAATTAAAATAAATTCACTTACTTTTCATCAACAATCTGAATTAAATAAAAAAATATAGGATTTAGATTAATAGATTTAAAAGATTGAAAGATGTCCCAATACACAAAGGTCTGATTAAAGAGATATCCACTTGTACCCCGTCCCCGCCCCCAAAAGTCGGGGAATTTAAGACTTTTTTTCAAAATTCCCTGCCCTCCCCACCCCGAGACGCTGTTTCCCCAAAAATTTTTCCTGTGGCCCTCACCTCCCCACTCCCCCACCCTCGTCGGAGAACCTTACTATCCACCACCAGGGACGGCAATCAAGGTATTTTAAAAATGGCAGATGGAAGAAAACGGAACGAAATAAAAAGAAAGGAGAAGGAAGACGGAAATAAAAGTATTTTAAAAGCAGAATTCCGCGGAAGCCAAATGCAAAAGCGCAGGACAGCTCTCCCTGCTATCCACATATAAAACAACTATTCATCATGTTTCACCCAGTTTTATTAAATTAATAGGTATATTGACCTGTTGATATAAACTTTCTTCATCTTTATGATACTTCGAAATTGCTTCAACAATATCTTGAAACTCCTCATCATTTTCCTCAACCTTCATATTTTCATTCAAAAATAGTTCCATTATACTGTAGTATATATAACCTTTATGCTTTTTATTTACTTTTAACTGATCAACTGCCCCTTTTATATTTTTAAAATGCTTTGAATATCCTTTAAATCCTTTGATTATTTTCTTTGTCTGAGCTCTCATTCCATTCAATTTGTTAAAATAAACATCTGAGGAGATATATTGCAACTCTCGAAGATTCTTTTTATATTCTCTTGTATAATCTTAAATAAAAAAATAAGTCTCTGTACAAAGTAGACTTTTTCTACGGTTACTTCGTTCAAAATTCTCAATCCGGGACGCTCTGGTATTCCACCTTTACGAGCTGAATCGAACCATTCAAAGGCGTCCCGGACTCGATAGTTTTCCACACAAGTTCTAGCTCGTTGGTACCTTGGGATTGCGGCACCTTGGCCTGCTCCCCTTTTCAACGGACCCCTATGCGGTCATGGATTTTTCAATTAGATTAATTCCAGATTCATTTTAAATTGTAGGTAGCGCCCAAATATCATTCCAGTGGCTCAGTCGGTAGAGCTATAAGTCTAGAAGATCGGTGACTAGTGCCCGTGTGGGGCAAAACTTATACGTTCCTCTCAGTTTATCAAGTAATCTAGCGCATAGTCTCGCTGATCCTTTTGTATTATTGTTATCGTGATAAAGCACTGATTGCTAGTTAAGTCTATTCTGTTTGTATCGGATACAACGAAAGTACACACAACCTCTCGAACGAGTATTGCCTAGAATTGCATGAGATCGAGGTTTTTTGTAAAAACCTAGACCGAGGATTACTGAGGCGGGAAAAGCAGAGGTCGATGGGCAAATTTTGATTCGAGGTCCGAGGATCTTTTTCTACTGGCCAATAATTATCTTTAATAAATATTTGCCAACCTCCTCTTTTCGTTACTACTTGTTCAACAGCCTTTTTAGCTCCTTTTGCGATGCTCACCGCCTTTTTCTTTGCCGCCTTTGGAAGTTTTTTAACAAGGTCTATAGCGCCTTCAACTGTATTTTCCACCTTTCGCTCTAAAGAGTCTTTAGATGAATGTCCGGTAGAAAATTGGATTTCCCTTGCTATTTTATCATCCCTTCTTCCTCCACCTCCAATGATTTCATTGGCCATAGCCAATAAAATAATTGAAGAGAAAATTGTCCAAAGATGCATTTTTAGAAAACTTTTGTCTAAATTAGAAAAAATTATACGGGAAATAGACTTTAATTATGTGCATGCGATGCGTTTTTTATTTAAAAAAATTTTTTTTCTCTAAACTGAGTTTATTTAATTTTAAAAAATTTAAAAAATGAAATGTGCATTTCTCTCTCCATCCCTTACTATTTATTTAATAAAGGAGGGAGGGACTTTTATTTTGAGAGGGTAAAAAGATGGTAAATGATGGTGGGATGCTTGGCCGCGGGCATGGGCGTAAAGTTATTTCACAATTTCATCTGATGTGTGAGGGAAAGTCTCTGAGGGCCCGCCCAGAAGTCTCTGAGGGCCTGAGAGGAAGTCACTGAGTGCCCAGAAGTCTCTGAGGGCTCACTTCAATATTTTATTTGACGGCATTGTAGGAAAAGTCTCAAATTCCTCGCCCTTCAAAAACGGCACATTAAAGCTGGCGAATCTGAGAAATCTTCAGAATCCATATGGCATGCAGACATTTCTTTATGGACATAGCATAACAGAGTTGTGTACGGCTGGATTAAGTCTCCAGGTCTCACCACAACCATCTATCACAACAGATATCTAAATCGAGAATCCCGAGTTTCTTTAGATCCCCGACCCTAAAACACCTAATTCCCAACTTTAGTGTTCAGCGACTTTATTTTGGAGGCAAAAATAATTTTCAAAAATTTTAGAGTATAAAATAAATATTTAAATAAAAATTCTTTAAATATTTTATTAATTTAGACAGGCGGCGCTCAAACTTTTAGGCGCCCAAATGTTCATTTTTAATCGTTTTATAGGACCCCCTCCATTAATAAAAGATAAGGACACGTAGAATTATACTATCATGCCTCTAAATAAATTGATAGAATCAATAACACTTGCCAAAATTTAATAAAGAAGGAGCGAGGATAAGCGTCTTTTTAAATGTTGTAGTATAAATTTAAAAATTAAAAAAAGGTAAAGGGCAACACTTAATAGAAATTTTAAAGTAAAATTTAAAAAACGTGAAAACTTTTATTAAACCAAAGGCTGTGCAGTAGGCGTCGTGGTGTAATGGCTACACATCAATCCGGTCTACTGAAGATGCTGGTTCGCTCCCAGCCGCCGATTAACCTTTTGCACTAGCTAAAGGAGAGAAATAGCTATAGCCCAGCTGCTTTACTCATTCACAAAATGCCAAAACGGTAAAATTATCACTCTCCCGGGTAATCACTCGCCAACGTGATCACTCTCCTGGAATTGATTAACCGGGAGAGTGATAACCAGTGAAATTGATATTGTGACTATATGGAGACCAAAATTTTAGTGCCCAATATTCCGTTTTTTGACTTGTTGTCCATAATTTTAAAAATTGGTGACCAAACTCCCGAAAAATCTTAGAGACCAAAATTTCGGTGGCCAAAATTCCTTACAACATCCTATCCAAATATATATTTATACAACTGACGCCAAAACATTAGGCGCCCAAACGTTCATTTTTAGTCGATTTTATTTACTCTCTATTACTGTAAAAAGGACACGTCGAATTGCCTATCATGCCTTTAAATAAATTGATAGAATCAATAATATTTGCCAAAATCAAAAAAATTTGTCGGCAGCATTTTAAATGTTAAACAAATTTAAAAATTGATTAAATATAAGGTATAAATTTTTAAAAGTAAAATTCAAAAATTTAGAAAAATCAAAACTTTTTTTAATATTTCATAGAGGGTGCCTTCCATTAAAAAAGGTAATAGTGTCGTTTCCAGGCCCCATTTTTTCTCCCCAATTTTTTACCCTATGTTTGTACGGAATGGTCAAATTTTCTCCTTTCTTTCATCAAATTTGCCTTTCCATATTTTGCCTAAAAACAATCAAAAAGATTAATTTGTGATATTTAAAAAGTATTAAAGTAATGAGAAGAATCATTTTCCCAATTAATAAAAATGAAAGACTGTTGTTGTGAGACGAAAATATAAAAGAGGCAGACAACCATCAAAGAAAGATGTATGATGATTGGGGGCGTTGAGAGAAACACCAAGAGAAACACCAAGCTTTTTGATTGTTTTTAGGCAAAATATGGAAAGGCAAATTTGATGAAAGAAAGGGGAAAATTTGACCATTCCGTACAAACATAGGGTAAAAAATTGGGGAGAAAAAATGGGGCCTGGAAACGACACTATTACCTTAAAAAATTTAAATATATGTAAATAAATCAACTAACTACCTCAAATTTGGGGTTTTTTAAATGTGAACTAGTGTCCGGCAAAATTATTTATCCGAGCCCGGAACCGCGCTCATGCCGGACCGGATCCGGCCGAAGTAAGAGGTCAAAAAATGGGGTGGTACGAAGTACAAGCAAATTTGAAATTTCCAAGCAATGGTTTGAAGAAGGTACTACAATAAGTGAACAAACAAAAAAATTTTAAAATAAAAATCTACTAATTTTTTATCTACGAATTGTATGACAATTATAATTGAAAATAGCTTTAAAAAATAATCTGATTGTATTTATTCTGATGGACCCGTTTTGTGGACATTTTCCAGCTTCTTTAGAGATGCCAACCAGAAAATCTCGCTTCCAAGTTCCGGGTCCATCCCGGGTTCATCGGGGATTTTACGGGTTGAGAAAAAAGTCTGGGATTTGGGTCGGGTTTTGAAAAATTTTCCTATCTGGTTTCGAGTCGAAAAAACAGGCAACTCGTGGCATCCCTAGTTCAAATAGAGAGCTGACCTGATCCGGGGTGGACTCGGAACTTGGAAGCGATATTTCCTGGTTACATTCCGGCATCTCCAAAAAAGCCGGAAAATGCCCAGGAAACAGGAACGGATCCCATTCTTGTCTCTAATAGAGATGAGGATTTAATAGAATAAATACAGTATGTTGGTACCCAATTTTTAGTAAAATAAATTTTAAAAATAATCTAATAATAAATTTAAAAACTGCTTAAAATTTGGAATAAAAGCAAAAATTACCCAAAACGTTTAGAGTCGAATCTCGATATAAGAGACAAATAAAAAAAGTCTTTTAAAAAATAAACTGTCTGACTAGACATAGGTAGGGAGTGTCTCTTATATCGAGCTTTCACTGAAAAGATGGTTTCTTTTAGATATCAGTGATTCTATTCGATAGCTCAGAAATTTAGGCTAGACTAGGCAAAATATAAAAATTTTTATGAAATATATGTAGACGATTACCAGCTTGAACTAAATACCGATCTCTTAGCTTTCTAGCTTTTAGTTTTTGAAAATTTTTTATTTTGCCCAGCCTTGGCTTTTGATAAATAAAAATTCAAAACTTTAAAGAAAAATGATGCTAATTTAAAAAATAAAATTCTACAAAAAACTACCCCAAATTTCGTTTTGCTTGTACGATGCTTGCAAACTCTTGCTCGTTTTAACAGTTTTAATCGTCACCTTATGGCCCTTGATGATAGTAGCCTGGTGGTGGGCCTTGATGATAGTAACCAGGTGGCGGGACTGGATGATAGGAGCCTGGAGGAAAGTAGCCTGGAGGCGGGACTGGATGATAGAAGCCTGGTGGTAGATATGGATAATCTTAAATTAAATTAATATTTTTATCATAGAATATCTAAAAGAGACCAGGAGATTTTTTGAAAAACCTGAGCCTAAATCAGAAGTAAGTAAAAGTGTAGCTTATGTGATGCATTATTTCACCTCCCTAGAAGGAACAAGGAAGTAGACTCGATATTTTTAAGCGATGCCAGTAGCTAATCGATTCTGCTGTGTCGGAATTTTCGACCGAAATCAATCAATTTACACGTCTCTTCGAGCTCGAATTCGGGTCCGGGATTCGAAATAAATAGAATTTGAAACATAATCGGACTCAACAATCCGATTGCCTACTGACAACCTAAAAAATCGAAGAAAAAAGAAAAATGAGAAAAAATGCGCCACATAAACCAGTTTTACCAAGTCTTCCATCTCGATCTTTATGAGATTAATTCATAAATCTTAGAGGATGAGCATCAGGTCTGCAGGAGTTCTCTTCCCCTCTTGTATAAAATGTAACCTTGTTGCCATGGTAGACGGGTATGGCCTGCAGACGTTCCTTCCTGTCCTGAACCTTGTTGATCATCATCAAATTCTTCCTCATATCCCTCATCTTCTCCCTCATCATCGCCACTATCATCGTCATCTTCATCAGTTTGCCCACCCCCACTCTCTGAATCTCCCTTTTCACTGTGAATTTCACTTCTTTTTAGGCTTTGCAGCGGAGTTGGGTCCGTCGACAATTCGCCATATCCGGCCGGTGTTTCTATTTCACCCCTCAAGCGGAACTTCTCCCAATTAAAATAAAAAAATTTTTCTAGAATTGTATTGAGGTATTTAGCATCTGTCGTATCGTCTCCTTTCTGCTCTACACGATCTATACAGTATTTTATCTGAAAATTTTTAAAGTTTTGGCATGTGATAGTTTTTAAATTGTCAACACTTGAAGGAAAATTTTGGCTTTTGCTCATTTTTTGGGCAGAAATAATATTTTAGAAGAAGAAACATCAAATGGTTGTTCGAAAGCCCCCGATAAGCCGTATCTTTTTCCCAACTTGATAGATCAGATTTGATCACTCCTTAAAAAGCTATAACACGATAAATTTGAAAAAACCTAATAATTTATCAGTTATAACTTGTCTAGTTATAACTTTTTAAGGAGAGGTTGGCCTAATCTATCCTATTAAAACAAGATACAGCTTGTCAGGGGCTTTATAATGTTATAAACTTCATATTTATTGGATCATGCAAAAAAAAAAGTTATAGCCGATCAAAGTTCGGCTGGCACTCAGTTTGCGGTCGTATAACGGAAAAGTACCTTTATTAAAAATTCCAAAATTCAAAAATAACCTTAATAAAACTATAAACATGATCGAGAAAATTGTTTTCATCAAAATATTCATCCTTTTTTATTATTTCCATTGCAATTTTTATCTTAACTTGAATCTTTTCATCCTCCTCATATTTTTGAAAATAATCCCCATAGTTTTCTATATTTTTCTGTTTTTCGTATAAATAAATTAAATAAATAATTGCCGGTTTTTCTGCAATTTGAAGTAAAGCAACGTTCATTTTTCCTACTTCTACAGCTTAAAAGTGTTTTAAAAT